CTGCATCTCAATCAAGGCCTTGATCTTTTCAGGGTTAGCTTCAGTGCCCCGCTGACTGACCATAAAACCTAGAAACTTCCCAGATCCTACGCCGAAGGCGCACTTCTCTGGGTTGAGCTTCATTTGGTACTTGCGTAGGGTGGCGAAGGTCTCTCGCAGGTCGAACAGATGATCAGTGGAGAGTTTGCTTTTGACTAGCATGTCGTCGACGTAGACTTCCATATTCCGACCTATCTGATGATGGAAAACGGCATTGACCAACCTTTGGTAGGTGGCCCCAGCATTCTTCAGTCCGAATGGCATCACGCGGTAGTGGTAGGTACCTCGGTCGGTAATGAAGGATGTATGTTCCCGATCGGACGGGTGCATCAGGATTTGGTTGTACCCAGAGAAAGCATCCATGAAGCTGAGCATTTGATGACCGGCTGTGGCGTCGACCAGCAGATCTATGCGGGGAAGAGGATAGCTATCTTTAGGACAAGCGCAGTTTAGGTCAGAGTAATCGACACAAAGTCGCCATTTGCCATTGTTCTTGCAGACTAGGACCACGTTTGACAACCACTTAGGGTAATCCATGTTTTTGATGAATTGGGCCTTAAGAAGCTTGTCAACCTCTACGGCTATAAGTGTATTGCGCTCTGGATGGAAGATGCGCTACTTCTGGCGGTAAGGTCGGAAATGGGGTTCGATGCTGAGGTGGTGAGTTATGAAAGAGGGGTCAATGCCCGGAATGTCTGAATGGGTCCAGGCAAATACATCATTGTGCTCGATTAGAAGGGCAGTAAGGTCGGCCTTAGCTTGGGAGGATAGTTGGCTGCCGATCTTGGCAGTCTTCAGAGGATTGATGGGATCAATGAGAACCTCAACGAGCTCCTCAACCGGTTCTTCTCTAACCAGCTCGTCCTCATCTCGGACGTCAAGTCCTTTAATGATCATGGCCTCCTTCAGCTTGACTTCCTTGAGTGAGGCGACATAACATTCCCTGGCTGCAGTCTGCTCTCCCCTTACTGTCCTGACGCCCAGGTCGGTAGGGAACTTTATGGCGAGGTGGTAGGTTGAAGTGATAGCTTGGAAAGCGTTGAGGGCGGTGTGGCCAAGGATGATGTTGTAGGCAGAGGGACAGTAGACCACAAGGAAAGTGACCAACTTGGTAGTCTGCCGTGGGTATTCGCCGATGGTGAGGGGGAGATTGATGGAGCCGATAGAGGTCACCTGGTCGCCAGTGAAACCGACCAAAGGGGTTTGGAGGGGAGACAGGCTTTCCTCCCCAATCTTGAGCTGGCAGAAGCAGTTGAGGAATATGATGTCTGAAGAACTGCTGTTGTCGATGAGAACCCGTCTGACCTTATAGTTGGAGAGGAGGGCAGAAATAACGAGAGGGTCATCATGAGGATAGCGGATGCCTGTACAGTCGGCGTCCGTGAAGGTGATGGGCTCTGTCCACTGCTTGGGCTGTTTGGAGGGTCGGTCTACCGTGGCGACTGCTTTGTCTGAGCCTTGCCTTATCTTCCTAAGTTCTGCCATCTGAGGAGAACGGGATGGTCCGCTACAAGCAAGGCCACCTGAAATGACTTGGATTTTACCAACTGGTGGAGGGGGATTACCTGGCGGCCGAGGCTGTTGTGGGGGGCGATCATGGCCTTGGTTAGGTTGGGCTGGCTATCGGGGTGGGGTACGCCGGCGGTTGTTTCTGAGAGGCTCGGTTCTTTGCCTCTGTTGTGGGCGGGTGTCCGTGAATTGGCTGAGACACCCTTGACGAATGAGGGTCTCGACCTGATCCTTGAGGTTGATGCAGTCATAAGTGTTATGGCCATGGTCTTGCTGGAAACGACAATATTTGGATTGGTCTTTCCGATTGGAAGGGGTCCGTGAGGGTAGGGGCCATTTGAGGGGGTAGTCCCGTTGGATCTGGTGGAGGACTTGTTCCATGGGAGAGTTAAGGGGCGTGTACCGCTCGAACCGACCGAGCGGTCGGACGGGTGTCGACCGGTCAGTGCGAGGAGGTCGGTCGGTATAATGGGGTGTTTGGCTGTTATACTCGGTGTTTCTGGGTTCTGAGACTTTTCTCTTTTCTCTGGGGGTCGGGTTTTTAGATATGGGATCCTGCCGAGCGGCTAGTGAATCTTCGACATTCATGTATTTCTGGGCTTTGGAGAGTAGGGCTGCCATGGAGGTCGAGGGGTTTTTGGAGAGGGAGAGGAGAAAATCGGACGATCGTAGCCCAGCCATGAAAGCCGTGAGGATGACTTTGTCGTCGTTCTCCGTTACTTGCAGGGCTTCGGTGTTGAAGCGGGTAACGAAGCTGCGCAGCGACTCCGCCTCGGTCTGACGGATGTTGAGGAGTTGGGTTGCAGGGCCGCGTTAGCGCTGGGCTCCAATGAAATGGCTAAGGAAGGAGTCGCTGAGATGCTGGAAAGTGGAGACAGAGTCTGCTGGTAACTGGCTGAACCACAGTCGAGCTGACCCCTTCAATGTCACGGGGAAAGCCCGACACATGATCTCATCAGGGAAGGCATGGAGGATCATGAGGGTACGGTAGGTCTCCAGATGATCGACTAGGTCCGTCGTACCGTCAAAAGAGTCAATGGTGGGCATTTTGAACTTGGCGGGCAGAGGTTTGTCCTGGATGGAGGCAACAAATAGTGAGCTTGCCGTGGTAGAGGGTTTATGCTGAATATTCTGCATGACCCCTTGGAGCTAGAGCTTCATTGCTCGGAGTTCAGCGTCCTAGAGGGGAAGGTGGTTACCATGGTTAGTCAATGCGGGTTGGACGCTGCTGGCTTCCCCTTCAGGGGCTGGCGCCACGACCGAAGGGTGTGGGAGGGGAGGTGTTAGATTTATATGCGGGGGAGGAGGTTGCAAACCTTCCAAGTTGGGTGGATAGGGTTGTGGAACAGTATGGCTCGGGGCTCTTTCTTGGTTAGATGGAATATCTGGAGGTGGTGGAGGAGGCATCAGAAGGTTTATTTGGAGTAAAGCATTTATCAGGGCCTAGTTTTGTTCGGCCATGCAGTTAATGCTGTTGGTAAGCTCAACGATATACTGTGGTGGGTTGTTTGGATTGGGAGGGTCGGTTTGATAGTCGGCAGCATTATGGTGAGAAGCCATGGATCTAGTCGTGACCATACACTTGGATGGGTAGGAGGAAAAGGTTGTTAGGACAGGGTCTCCGGCGACAATGAACACTACTGACGTCCGGATAAGAACCACTTCCCACAGACGGAGCCAACTGATGATACTATTTGCTCCAGTGAATGGATCAGACTGGTCCACGCTCCTCCGGCCTACATCCAAATGATCAAGCCCACCGGATAACCTGCAAACAAGTTCTACTGGGAATTGGGTAGTCACCCAGTGAACCCTCCGACGAGCAAGTTAGGGAGAAAAGTAGAGTGTAGAGAGAGAGATTAGAGATAAAAAAGCTTAACCTTCTTCTTGTCTTCAACGTTTGCTTATATCTTTTGGTAATCATTTCGCTGTCCCTTCCGACCTGCCCTCATCGCCGAAAGTCTATGCTGTAGCTTACCTTGTTCAGGGTAAGGGGGTCCTGTTCCAACGGAGAGGTGTTGTCGTAATAAATGTTGTGATGGGCTGCATTAATGGTGATGTGCAGTGGCAATAACTTTGCAGATCTTTGTCTGCTGATGTGGCTCGTCCTTCTCCTGCCGTGTGTTTGAATGTCATTGGCTCTTTATGTCATGTTGGACTCCAGCTGTCCTGGACCTCACCAGCTGGGTTATGCATTGGGCTCCAAGGGATGGGCTTGGATTGTCCATAGGTGATTCGTGGCGTTTATGGGTTTATACACGTCATATAATAATTTATTTATTTTTAACTATTACAAGTTTGCTTATTCATTCCAAGCATGGACAATTTGTGCATAACAAATATAACTAAGGGTGTTAAAAAAATTAGTGAATCGGTAAATCTATCAAATCTGGTTTAAATTGTCAATTTGGTTCGATTTTTTTCAGCTTCAATTTTGGTTTTGGTGTCAACAAAACCGAACTGTACCATGATATATTTGTTTATTAATTTTTAATATTTTTGTATGTTAAAAATAATAATAAGAATATAAAAGTTACTAGTAAGATTTGAACACAAAAATAATAAGCTTTAACCAACTAAACTAAACTAATTATTGTTAGTTTATTTACTATTATCAAATATATATCGTATTCTTGGTTATATAGGTTTTTTTGGAATTGTAAGACTGAACCAAACTGGTTTTTATAGATAGGCTTAACGGTTCAGCTACCGTTCTAATTTTTTTAGAACCGTAAACACAAATTTGACTCTTGATTTACTGTAAAACTAAATCAATTCAATTTGTCAAACACCTTTAAATATAATAGTTATATCATGTCATCACCAACCAGTGGTTTCCCCATGCAATAATAAAACACAACATAAAAATGTGAATCCCACTATGTAAATTTAATTACTTTTCCAATTCAAATTGACTACATGGATTGGTTACTAGAGAAACAAGATAGCTTTTGGCTAATAAAATAAAAACAAACGTCACTAAACACTTTATCAACAGTTAAAAAGTTTAATATCACATATTTTTTTTTCATTAAAAATAATTTTTTTTTTCCAAACGTATTAATTAAAAAAGTATTTAAAAAAAGAAGTAAAAGAAAAAATCAAAAAAAAAAAAAAAAAAAAAACCCCATACTACCACTAAATGATAGATTATAATTGAAAATGGTGATTTCTATGAAATTTTTCTCCATAATAGTTGGGGTGCAATTCGAGCAGGAGGGATTGTTTAAATCTAATTCAAATTATGTTGAGACCTGTCTAGGCTTATCCAAATATAAATTGTAATCTAAAATTATCTACTCAAATTCAACCCGAGTTAAGCTTAAATTGCACATAAATTTGAGTTTTGGGTTATTCGAGTTGGTTATTATCTTTATTCAAATTCATTTAAATTTAATTTGAGATTTGAATTTTTGTTCAAACTCACACCAAATTTAAAATTATTTTGGTCAAATGCTAGGAAACGATTCTGGTTGAATTCGGATTGCTTATTTTTAGTTTGGGAGTGGAAGTGATAGATGTGGGTGTATGAGTAATTTGCCCTTGCTAGAGATATCTCTTAGCTGAGCATTGGCCTTCCCTGCAAGCAAACAGCAAAACACACACGGCGTCTCTACCCCGATCCTCCGAACCAAACAAGAAACTCAGCAACCATGCCGACAGGTCAGAGAACCCCTCTTCCCTTCTTCACTTCGATTTCAATTTCTATACACTATGATTCAAAATCGAAGCCAACATGCTTGTTTTTCGTATCCCACTCTTGGTTTTTGTTTCAGCTTACGATTTTTTCATTTATTCGCAGCATCTGTTTATGTTGTTCTTCTGTCAAAGAAACATATAGGGTTTGATTTTTACTTTTATCTTGAAATTTATGTATTGGGTCGGTGGCAAATTTGGGGCCATCCCTATTGTGTGATCCTTTTTTTGGTGAACGATGGTTGGCATGGCCTAAAGATTTCAATTTGATCATGGTAACTGCGTTTAGAGTAACCCTCATTTGGATTATGAGAGTATTTCTTAGCATGACAAAATATTTTAATTTATTGATACTTCACAACTCCAATATGTGTGGGAACTTCTATTCAACTTATAACCATAACCCTTGTTGCATTTGCAGCTTACATTATTAGTTGGACAAAATACTTTAATTTGATTATGCTGACTGAACTGAAGCATACATGTGTAAGATTTCTGAACGTTTTTTAGTATATTCAATTGTATTAGTAATACAAGAGTACATCACTTTATATAACAATCTAACCTACGACTGGAAAGGAAATAAAAATATTGACTCAAATTCCTAATATATACAAAATATATATACTATCATATATACACAAAACCTAATATTCTCACATCCTCGCTCAAACTCAAGGTATTTTAGCAGAAAACACTGAGAGTTTGCCAAGAAGAAACTGAAATTGAGTAGTGGTGTGAGTCTTGGTAAAGAAGTCAGCAAGTTGTATAGCTAAAGAGACGAAAGGAAGCGAGATAGAGCCAGACTACAGATGCTGATGGACAAAGTGGCAATCAATCTCAATGTGTTTCGTCTGCTCATAGAACACAGTGTTATGAGCAATCTGAATAGCACTGTGGTTATCACAGTAAAGAGAGGTTAGAGAAGATTGAGATACGTCCAAATCTGACAATAGATAACGAAGCTAAACAATCTCAGCAGTAGCATGAGTCATAGCACGATACTCAATTTCGGCAGTAGAGCGAGTAACATCAGTTTGTTTCTTGATTTTCCAAGAGATCAAGGAATCGCCAAGAAACATACAGAACCCAGACGTAGATTTGCGATCAATAACGTCACTAGTCCAGTCAGAATCAACATAGGCTAGCAAGTCAAGTCCAAAGAGGAAGTAGAGGACAACAGTAAGTCCTGAAATATAGTACTCCTGAGATAGCGAAGAATACGAACCAAAGCAGCCCAATATGTAGACCGAGGAGCAGAAATGAACTGGCTAACCACATGAACAGTATATGCAAGATCTGGGCGAGTGACAGTCAGATAGATTAAGCAACCAACAAGCTCTCGGTATAAAGTGGGATCATCTAGAGGAACACCATTGGTAGTGTTAAGTTTCACATTAAGCTCAATGGAGGTATCATAAATTTTAGTGTCAGTAAGACTGGAACTAGTGAATAATCTCATTTGCATACTTAGTTTGAGACAGAAAGTAGCTTTTAGGAGAAAAAGTCTCCTTAATACCAAGAAAATATCGCAATAGGCCCAAATCCTTCATTTCGAAAGTACGGAAGTGATGTTGCTTGACCTTAGAGAGAGTATAGGAGTTAGAGTCAGTGATGATCATATCATCTACATATAGTAATAAGGCAACAAAGCCAGTAGAGATGTGGAGGAGAAACAAAGTAGAGTTCTGGGCACAAGGATGAAATCCAAGCTCAGTAACAGTAGTCTGAAAGTGATCATACCAAGCACGAAGAGATTGCTTCAAACCATATAGAGCACGCTGAAGATGACAAACCAGTCTAGAGGAATGGTGAAGGCCAAGGAGAGGACGCATGTAGACCTCCTTAGTGAGATGGCTATTAAGAAAATCATTCTTAACATCTATCTGATAAACAGGCTAATGACGAACAACAGCAACAGAGATCAAAGTATGGACAGTAGTCATCTTAGCAACAGGGAGAAAGGTCTCCTTATAGTCAATACCATATTCCTGTAAGAAACCTTTGGCAACCATGCGAGCTTTGTAGTGCTCAAGAGAATTATCAGAATGAGTCTTGACTTTATAGACCCATTTGCTACCTACCAGATTCTTACCAGCAGGCAGATGAACTAACTCCCAAGTACTAGTTTTTTGCAAAGCAGACAACTCATCCTTCGTAGCTTGAATCCACTAAGGATCCTAACAGGCCTCCTTATAAGACTGAGATTCTAAAAAAGAGTGAATAACAGAAAAAAACGTACAGTATGGAGAAGAAAAATATTGTTTAGCAAAACTAAGTTTGACTACCTGTTTACAGATGCGAAGGAGATACTTACGGTTAGCAAGATCAGAGTCGGCAGAAGCAGGAGGATCAACAGTAGGAGCATAAACAATTAGTGGAGGAAGAGTCTTACGACGAGAATAGAGTAACAACAGAGGAGGAGGAGGAGGAGCAACAAACGCATGGGGGTTAGTGGTGAGGGACTCATCTGGTGGGGTGTATGAGGAGAAGAGGGAACAAGCTCATGGGGAACAACAGACATGTACTCATCAGGAGGGACCTCAGAAGGAAATGGATCAATATAAATCTAATCCTCTTTGGAAACTGGGACTGTGAGAGGAGGAAGTTGAAAGTAAGGTAAACGTTCGAGAAAGACAATATGGTGGGAGACATAAAGGTGGTGGGAAACAGGGTCATAACAGCAATAACCTTTTTGAGTGAGACTGTAACCCAAAAGACACATAGGACAGACTGGGTACTAAGTTTAGCCCTATCTTTACGGGATAAAAGGATAACACGCAGATCCAAAAAACATGAAGGAGAGAGTAATTGCGAAGTTGGAAAAATAGAGCCTCGTAAGGAGAACGACTAGAGCATATGGGGGTAGGTGTACGGTTGAGAATAAAAGCAGTTGTAAGAACTTCTTCCCCTCAAAAGGGAGCCGGAATGGAGGCAGAAAGAAGGAGAGATCTAGCTATCTCAAGGATATGACGGCTTTTACGCTCAGTATGATCATTTTGGGCTGGTGTATCAGCATAGGAAGTTTGGTGAATGGTAACTAAATTGGCCAAATACTCATAGAACTCAGTTTTAAAATATTCTCTACCTAAGTTAGACTATAACAATTTAATGGTAGACCCAAACTGTATAGTAATCATAGAGTGAAGGGTATAGTATATGTGGTAAAAGTCAGATTTACGAGTCATAAGATAAACCCAAGTATAGCGGGTGTAATCATCAACAAAAGACACATACTATGCGGAATCCCCTTTAGTGAGAACATGAGAGGGTCCTCAGACATCAGTATACATAAGAGAAAATAGAGAAACAGAAATAGTAGTCCTTTTATCAAATGGCAAAGCTAACATTTTGACAAGTTTACACCCCCCGACATTCGTCAATTTGATTAGGAGAAACTTTACCCAACAATCATGACTGAGTTAAAGACTGTAAGCGGTCAACAGATAAATGGCCTAGGCAAGAATGCCATAAATAGAACTGACTTGACTGAGAATTCAACTGAAACGAGAAAAGTGCAACTGGAGAGGTGGATAAAAAGAGATGCAAACATTCTACCACATAGAGATCTCCAACTTTATGGTCGGTCCCAATCTGCTTCTTGGACACCCGATCCTGCACACAACAGACAAAAGTGGAAAATATAACATCAAAATCAGAAGTATCAAGTTTACTGATGGATAACAAACTAACATAGAGCTGAGGAACATAAAGAACATAGGGAATAGTAATAGTAGACTTGGCAGAGGGTAAGATAGACCCAATAGACAAAACAGACATACCGGACCCATTAGCAGTTTTAATAATAATAGGAACAGGAGGGGGACTACAGTTTTGAAGTAAGGAAAGATAAGGAGTCATATGATGAGAGACACCAAAATCAAAAAGCAATGGAAGAAGGGATACTTGAGGAGGACCCAAGCAAACCCGAATGAAGAGAGGTAAGAGCGGAGGCAGATGGGGATGACTGAGAGGTGGATAGGATATGCTGAAGTTGAGCAATCTGAGCACTCAAGGAAGCTAAGTCAGGATCGGGAGCCAGAGCAGATGCAGTATAAGCGGCAGGAGGTAGGAAAATACTCGGAGTAAGACTGCTGAACTTTGTCTGAGGTGGCTGAGAAGATAGAGCAGGTTGACGTCCCTTCTTGGGACAATTGTGCTTCCAATGGCCCCTCTAATGACAAAATGCACACTCATCTAAAGCCAGGGGCCCTTTCTTGGGTTTTGTAGTGGCCTAAAGCTAATGAAGAGGTGGGGTCGACAATAGTGGAGATTGAGCAGGAGCAAGGAAGACAAATGGAGACAGAGGTTGACTGGCCGTCTTAAGACAGGATTCCTCGGAGAGAAGCTCACGAACAATAGCATCCATAGAAAGAAGAGGAGACTGGTGTAGGATGCCACCATGGATAGCTTCATACTGAGGGGAGAGAGCTGTTAAGAACTGCACTAAACGATCTTGCTGCCGAAACTCAACATAAACATCTAGAACCTTGAGGTTGGATGGTTTCATAAGAGCCAACTAATCCCAGAGCCCTGTTATCTCAATATAGAAATCCTGAATAGACTGATCCCGTTGACAAGCTCCCTAAATAGCAGTTTCCAACTAATATCGCTTGGCAAAGTTGGACTGCTGATGAACACTCTATAAATAATTTCACAACTCTTTGGCAATAATATATTTGGAGAATATCCCGATACGGTCATCCACAGAATTATGAAACCAGGTAAAAACTTGGGCATTATCACAATCCCTAGTGTCACAGAAAGTCAAATATTCTTCTTGTTTCGGGTCCGATGGACAAGGAACAGAATCAAAAACATATCCCAATTTTTTTTGATTGAGAAATTTTTTTTTTCATAACACTAGACCAATAAGCATAGTTATCACCAGTAAGTTTGCATTTAATAGCCTAAATTTTATCTTTCGACATTGTAATGAACCAAAAAAAAAAAAAAAAAGAGAACAA